GCCTGCTACTCTGTGCTACGCCCGTGCTTACCTTGCTCCCGGAGACCCGGTCCCTCTCAGGAGGGTAAGTATTTACTCAAGTGAATTCTAATTTAATTCCTTGGTTAATTTTCTATACTGGGAAAATATTCCCACGTTTTGCTACTCACTTTTATTTTGCTGAAATTATTTTCATCAGGATCAATTCTTTTGTGATGTAAACATTATACTAAAGATTTGATTCACTAATCAATTTTTTTTTTTCCATTTCAATTTTGTCTTATTCTAGTTTCTGCCACTATAGTGGCATTCTGCCTTTACAGTTTGTTTTGTTTTGTTGGCCATTATATATAGCAAGTCCAATTTTGGAGAAAAAGTATATAAAGATTTTTAAGATTTGATTTAATTCTTGCATCAGTTTTTGTCTATAAGAAATTTTCTATGTGCAGTTGTAACCACTGTCAGTTTTATTATATTTCTAACAGTTGATGTTTAATATAAATTAGAAAAAAGACTAAAAGTATATTTCTTGTAGCAATGAGCACAGAACATTAGAATTAACACAGAGCATCAAAACAGGGTTTAAATATCTTTCAGAACAAAACTGCAGGGTTAAAACATTCTGCTTCATGTCAACATCCTAAATATAACAAGGCAATGAAATATAGACTATGTCTAGGAAAACTTTCTCATCAAATGCAATTAAGAAAAAAAAATTAGTACTCAAAAATGTATCTCCTTCTTTGACAATGCTTGATATTAGTCTGTACTTTAGTAATGCTGAAAGATAAAGGCAATTATCAGGTGTGAAAAGCTAAACTATGAATGAATAAGGATCAAACTGCCTCTTACAGTAATTTGGGTAATGTTTATCTACCTCTCTAACAAAGATCATGCAATGCTACTTAAAGTATTCACTTACCTGATTTTGTTATATGATAAATTGAGTTCACGTAATTTTAGTAGTTTATCCATCTTCTCAATCTTTCCTATGAGATTATAGCTGAGATTCAGTACTTCAAGTCGAACACATTTTTCCAAATTTTCGATATACTAATCAGAAACAAATGAATAAATACTTAATACAACAGAAGCCTTGACTTAAAAAATATCATTTAATTCTGTGCTACCACAGTGTTTTGATCAGTCATTAGAGTATAATGAACCCTTACTGCTCCTTGACAAGCCCTTGGGGCAGGTCTCCTTGGGCAGGAGTAGCAATTCTCCTCAAGCTGCTACACTCTCCTTGCCCCTCAGGGAACAACCACATTTCCTAAGTACTAAGAAGCTCAAGACCATCCAAGAAGAGCACCTCCACTATCCTTTCCGCAACCTCAACTTTTCAATGTCTCTCCCTCCATCCTCTCCTACCTGCCATCAAGAGACCACTTCCTTTTTCAAGTTAAACTAGGTACTTCTGCTCCTGCATAATCTCACTCACCTCTTGTCCCAAGCCCTTACATCTTCAACCTTTTACTGTGCCTTGGATCTTCCCCTCTCAAGTTTAAAAACATTCATTATTCAACAGATATCCATTATGCACTTATTACATACCAGGAGTGGCACCAAATAATAGGGAATAGCAGTGAACTAGACAATTTCCCTGCCACATAAAGCCTAGGTTCAACATGCTCATGTCTTTTCTATTATAAAACAAATCTCCTTGAATTGAATTTATTTTTCTATTAAGCCATCATCTTATATCCCTCTATTGACCACCAATATTTTCACAAGAGTTGCCTACCTTTGTTCATACTGTTTTCTATGTAATCCTACTCTATTGGTAAGGCAATACATCCTCTGTCCCCATTGCTGTTGTTGTTATTAGGGGTCATCAAGTCATCTCCAACTCACAGCAACCCTATGCACAGCAGAACGAAACACTGTCCGGTCTTGTGCCAGCCTCACGATCCTTGCTATACCTGAGCCCATCGTTGCAGCCACTGTGTCAATCCATCTCGTTAAGCGCCTTCCCCTTCTTCATTGACTCTCCACTTTATCAAGCATGATATCCTTCTCCAGGGAATGGTTCCTTCTGACAACATGACCAAAGTAGGTGAGACGAAGTCTGGCCATCCTCACTTCCAAGGAGCATTCCGGCTGCACTTCTTCCAGGACAGATTTGGTAGTCCTTTTTAGCAGACCACAGTACTCTTAGCATTCTTCTCCAACACCACAACTCAAAAGCATCAACTCTTCAGTCTTCCTTATTCACTGTCCAGCTCTCACATGCATATGAAGTTATTGGACCAGTTGTAAGGATTTTTGTTTTTTGTATATTGAGGTGTAATCCATACTGCAGACTGTAGTCTTTAATCTTCATCAGTAAGTGCTTCAAGTCATCCTCACTTTCAGCAAGCAAAGTAGTGTCATCTACGTATCTCAGGTTGTTAATGAATCTTCCTCCAATCCCGATGCCACATTCTTCTTCACATAATCCAGCTTCTTGGATTACTTGCTCAGCATACAAGTTGAATAAATGTGGTGAAAGGATACAACCTTAACACACTCCCTTCTTGATTTTGAACCATGCAGTATCCCCTTGTTCTGTCCAAACAACAGTCTCCTGATGTATGCACAGGTTCCTTATGAGTACAATCAAGTGTTCTGGAATTCCCATTCTTCTCCATAATTTGTTATGATCCACACAATCAAATGCTTTTGCATAGTCAATAAAACATAAGTAAACATCTCTCTGGTACTCCTTGTTCCACGCCCTCTTCTGAACCCAGCCTGCCTTTCTGGAAGCTCTCTGTCAACATACCGCTGCAGCCATTTTTTAATTATCTTCAGTAAGATTTTACTTGCATGTGATATTAATGATATTGTTTGATAATTTCCACATTCTGTGGGATCACCTTTCTTTGGAATGGGTACAAATATGGATCTCTTCCAGTCAGTTGGCCAGGTAGCTGTCTTCCAAATCTCTTGGCATAATCAAGTGAATACCTCTAGCATGGCATCCATTAGTGTACTCAAATGGTTATCTCTGAGGTCACCATTCATTCATCTATTCTACAAATTTTTCTCAAACATGGATTATGTGCCAGGAGCTGTTCTAGGTACTGGAAATACAGTGGAGAATAGGGAACATGGCTCTTACTCTCATTCACCGAGACAGACAATTAACAAATAAGCAAACAAAATTTTCAGATAGTGATGAGTACTAACAAGAAAACGAGACAACATGATGTGACAGAATGAAGCACCAATAGGGTAGAATTTGTCTGTTGGGTTTATAACTGTAGCACATAGAAGGTGCTATTAGAAAAAAAAAATCTGTTGACTGGAAGAATCAGAGGGGGAGACTGGGGAGCGGGTGACTAATTGTGAGTTGCTGGTGAGAGAAAGCCTCACAGAGGAGGAAACACTGGAGTTTTTAGCTGCCAAATCCACTCTACTCTCCCACACTCTGATTCTCCCTCACTGTTTCTTCTCTTAATCCTAGGAATTCCTCACACTAAGCTTTAAATTCCCAGAGATCAGAAACTAAGTTTATTTACCTTGGTATCTACCACCACACCCTAATACAATTCATATATAATAACCATTCAATATTTACTAATTTGATAGCCCATTTTCACAATTTTTAAACTTAAGCATGTCACTGTTTTCCTTTTTAATTACATAAGCAATGTATTAATGAATTCAAAATTTCAAACATAATATAAAAGGCTCTCTTCATCTGGTACCTTCTTCCCCTAAAAAAATTCTCATAGCTCAGAGGAGACCATTGTTAAGAGGCTGGTACGTATACATTCAGATCTTTCAATTCATTAACATCTATAAATATGCATATAGAAAAACAGATTGTTGAAATATTCCTGGGATCGTACTACATAAAAGTTTTAGAATTTGTTTTTTTCACCTAATATAATATATTGGGGAGCTCTGGTGGCTTAGTGCCTAAGGCATATGACTGCTAACCAGAAGTCTGGCGGTTCAAACCCACCAGCCACTCCTTAGAAGGAAGATTGGGCAATCTACTTCTGTAGAGATACTGCCTTGGAAACCAAGGAGGGATTGCTATGAGTTGTATCTGACTCCATGGCAGTGGATTTGGTTTTTTTTTTGTTGTTTAATATGTTGAGAATATTTTTTATATCAATGCAAAGAATATGAATTTACTTTTTTTAAAAAAACTTCATAGTATTTCATGGCATACTGCACCATAATTTATTTAGCTTCCCTATTGACAGATATTTATTATATCTTTTTTCTACTTTAAATAAAGCTGTAATAAACTAACATACACATTAGTGTATACATGTGCAAGCAAAATCAGTAGAATAAGGATTCTGTGTTAGTGTGTATTATAACCTCAACTGCTGGATCAAAAAATAAGAACATTTGAAATTTTGGTAAATATTGCCAAGCTACCTTCCTAAAATACTGTACCAATCTATACTTCCACTAAGAACATATGAGAATACTAATTTTTAATATACTTCTGAACACTGAAATAATCTTTTTAAATTCTTGACCATTAGATGAACATAGTTCCTCAGTGGTGGAAAAGCCTAGTACATGCAGCTGCTAACTGAAAGGTTAGAGGTTCAAATACACCTTAGGTGCCTCAGAAGAAAGGGCTGGCTATTTACTTCCAAAAAATAAGTCATTGAAACCCTATGTAGCACAATTCTTCTCTGATATACATGGAATTGCCATGAATTGGAATCTACTTGATGGCAACTGGTACTCAGATATGCAAGATAAAAAATGATGTTAAACTCCTATATTCTTTTCTCCACTTTCATAACACTTTTTTTTTGCTGATTTTTTTTTTGAAAGTGGAATTCAAATTTACTTCAGGAAACTGAAAGAATTGGGAACAGTAAGTTGTACACATATTCACAGTAGCAAAATCCACAACAATACGGCTATCTATAACATGGATTATTATAAAAGTAACAAAAGAAGTGACAGATGGCAGAATAGATGCTAGAACCCACTGCCATGGACCTGATTCAATTCAGTTACCCCACAGGACAAAGCAGAACTGCTCCATAAGGACATAAAAAGTCATAAACTATTTGTATAATCTCAAAAACACCCCCTTGATTCTTCCTTCCAATGGTGTTTGCTGATTTTTTTGGTTTGTTTTCCATTTAGTGTTTCAAAATTCTGCAATTTTTCTGAATAACATAACAAGAATCCAAATTTGTGTATTTTCAATTAAACTCAATTTCCCATTACAGTATGGTCATTTTGTACAGTAAACACCTATAGCAGAGATTAGCACACTTTATGTAAAAAGTCAGATAGTAAATATATAAAGTCTGTGTCACACTCATAGACAACAGGTAAACAAATGGGTGTGGCTGTTTTCCAATTTAACTTTTATTTATGAAAATATGCAGTAGGCCCAATTTGGTCCATAGGCTGTAGTTTACGAAACTCCTCCTCTAGTGATGGAGTCCCAATAGCACACTGGTTCAGAGTTTAGCGGCTAACTGAAAAAGGTCTGCTGTTTGAACCCACCAGCTGCTCTATGGGAGAAAGATGTGGCAGTCTGCTTCCATAAAGTTTACAGCCTCAGAAATCCTATGGGAGCAGTTCTACCCTATTGTATAGGGTCACTATGAGTTAGAATTAACTCTATGGCAATAAATTTGTTTTGATCTGGTTCTCCAGTGAGAGTGTGTAATGTATATAATGTTAATAAATTAATGGTAAAAATCCAAGTTACTTCAGAGAGTTCATGTAATAGGAGATATACTTCTGATGTAGAACTTTCAGTGGAAACAATAAAAGGTTGGCTACAAATTAGGTGAGATCAGGATAAGATGTTACTTTAAATCTAATATAATCTCTTGCTCTCCTTTTTTCATTTTAAAGAAAATTAAAAAAAACAATGTCTATACTTAGAAATTGTTAGTAACTTACCTTAAATTTCTTGCCTCCATCTTTAGAAAGTGAAAGGTTCAGAGATTTTACCAAGGCCAAGTTGTCCTGTTTAGTAAGTTTTTTAACAAGGGCCTCAGTAATATATCGGACTCCTGCATGTGAATCAGCTCCTGAAATTACAGAAACAGATCATCATCAGTAGAGGAAGACATAAAAATTCTAAAGAACAAATTATTCTGATGTTATGTTACAACAAAAAAAAAGCTATATAAAAACATTTAGCTAGCTCTAAGCCAATCTGGAGGAGCTCTGGTAGCATAGTGTCTAAGGGCACTTGACTGCTAACCAGAAGGCTGGCAGTTCAAACCCACAAGCCACTCCTTGGAAGGAAGAAGGGGCAATCTACTTCCATAGTGATACTGCCTCGAAAACCCAAAGAGGGGTTGCTACGAGTCGGGTCCAACTTGACGGCACATAACAACAACAACCACCAACCAATCTGGTAGCACAATGCTTAAGGCACTTGACTGCTAACCAGAAGGCTGGCAGTTCAAACCCACCAGCCACTCCTCAGAAGGAAGATGGGGCAATCTACTTCCGTAAGAATACTGCCTCAGAAACCTAAGGAGGGGTCGCTATGAGTCAGGTCTGACTCGACAGCACATAACAACAACAACAACAACAAACCAATGGTTTAACAACAATATTTCATTTTATATAGCATTTCATAAAAATGATGATGACAATAGATATAATCTATAAATACTTGCTATGTGGCAAGCTTTGAGCTAAATGCTTTACATTTTAAAAACTTAACTTCTAAGAAAATAACAATTGCTGGCAAGAATGTGGAGAGATTGAGACTCTCATACACCGCTGGTAGGACTGTCAAATGATACAACCACTGTGGAAAATAGTATGGCGATTCCTTAAAAAGTTGGAATTAGAAATATCATTTGACCCAGCAATTCCATTACTAGGTATACATCCTAAAGAAGTGAGATCCAGGACAAGAACAGATATATGCACACCCATGTTCATCATAGCACTAATTATAAAAGCAAAAAGAAACAACCTAGGAGGCGGGGCAAGATGGCGGACTAGGCAGAAGGATTGCACAGACCCTCTTCAACAAAGAAAAGGGAAACCAATTAA